CAGCTCGGGGGACCTGGGGGCTTTGAGGTGAAGGGGGAGGACCCGGGCTGGCCCTGGGGGCTGGGGATCAGCGGGGCAACCAAGGGCCAAGGAGGGGTCTGGGAGTTGGAAGAGAGAGCCTGGGGGGAGCCAGGGATGGGGAGTTTGTGGGTCTGGGTCGGGTGCCCGGGAGGGAGACCCGGAGAGGGGGGAAGAGGGGGTTGTGTGTGTTGCGGGAGGTAGGTCAGGTGCGCCAGAGGCACTCTCACCCTGCGTTTCTCCTTCCTTCAGCTCCATGGCATCATATAGAGAACCTGGACCTTTTCTTCTCTCGTATATCCTTCCACAACATGCACACTGTGTTGAGAGGGCATGCGCTCCCCCTGCCTTGTGCTGTGCTCCCCATGCTGGCAGAGGTGCTTGGTTTGGCATAACTTGGGGTCCAGGCAGCATCTGCTCCTTTGCTTAGGACACTTCGTGCTTCCAGAAAGGCTGGGGAAAGGTGGAGCCCCTGTGCTTATGGGATGCTGTGGCTAGTAAGTGCAGTTTTGCCTGTCTCTGTATTGCCCTGTGCCTGAGATCTTTCCCTGCTGCCTGCCCGCCCATCCCTTGTGCAGCCTGAGGGCAGGCTGAGTTTCTGTTCTCTTCCTGGGCCAAATCTACTTCTGGGGGAAGAAGGGGGTTTGGGTCAAGCCGGGTCCTCTTATTCCAGCTGTGCTATACCTGGAAGGAGTGTGTTTCCCTTCAGCGGAGTACCAGCTTGCTGGTGAATAGAGATGGGAGGGGGTTTCCATCGCTGGTAGCGGATGGCGGTGGGACGGGAGGTCTTTCAGGTCACCCTTTGTCAGAGGGGAAAGCTTTCCAGTCTGTTCTCCTTGACTGTAGCGCTCACGTCTATAATCTGCATCAGAAGAATGGCTTCACCTGCATGCTCATCGGGGAGATCTTTGAGCTTATGTAAGTGCAGGCTCTTGTGCCTTGTAGGCTGTTGAGGCTGTGACGGGAAGCTGGGGAATGGCTGTGGGAGTGTCACGAGCCATTCCAGACAGGTGGGCAGGAGGGTGTCCTTCTCAGATGTCCTGTCCACCTTTCATTAGGGTTGTCCATGCCCAAACCCATATGCCACTTTGAGGAGGTGGTGCTATGAGCTTTCCTGGCACCATGGCTGTGGGGCTGCCTGACTTGCAGCTCTTGTCTGCCATGCCTCTGGGCGGGAGGTGGATGAGGTGACTCCTTCATGGCTGCTCCCTGTCTTTGCAGGCAGTTCATCTTTGTGGTGGCGTTCACCACCTTTCTTATCAGCTGCGTCGATTATGACATTCTCTTTGCCAACAAAGCAGTAAATCACAGCCAGCACCCAAGTGAGCCTATTAAGGTGACGCTGCCAGATGCCTTCCTGCCTCCACATGTCTGCAGTGCAAGGTAGGAGCAGCTGAGGGCACGTTAGTCACTGCTCTTGCTTTCTCAGGTACTAAGGGCTCCTGTCCAGGGCTTGACTCCAGCCATCTTCCTCTTCTTGCCTGCAGAATCCAGGCAAACAGCTTCCTCATCTGCATCCTGGTGATAGCTGGGGTTTTCTGGATCCACCGACTCATCAAATTTATCTATAACATTTGCTGCTACTGGGAAATTCACTCCTTCTACATCAACGCCCTCAGAATCCCCATGGTAAGTAGCTGGGCTGAGGGCCCTATGCAGGGATGCAGAGGAAAACAAGAGGTCCTTGCTGTGCAGTGAGAAGCAGTTCACCTCCACCCCCCTCTGGAGCCAGCTTCTTCACGAGTCTTGTGCCAAGTGCTCTTCCTTCTCCTCCAGCTCTTCCCAGGGTTACATAACCGTGTTGATCTCCTTTCAGCTTTTCCAGCAGCCAACTTGCTGCACGTTAACTCTTCTCTGCCTAGCCTGTCAATGTGTGTGCTGGCATGTGCATCTGCCATCTGCCACCCAATATGTTTATTTTTATCTGTGATGGCCTTTTCTGTGATGCGTTTCAACAGCAAAGGCATAAGCAAGGGTATTCTCATACCTCCTGGGAGGCGAGTAGAATCGTCTTCTGTCTTTATTGATGAAGAAACTGAGGCATAGAGCTACTTAGTTGGTGAAGAGCATGCTGGAGATCTGTGCCAGAGATGGGATTTGAGGCTTACACCTACAACCTGCTGCTAGATCTTCTCCTCTGTGTGAGGACGTCAGAGGGTGTGTGTGCTTCCTTTTAGGAGAGGCTGTTGAGAAAGATGGGCTGAACCAAAAGGCTTGGTTTGTCCCCAGCTTTGCCGCAGGCTGCTTCTGGGACAATGGTCAAGTCCCTTTCCCTGTCCCTACTTCCCTTCCGACTCCAAGCATTAGGTATGCTTTCCAGCTTCCCAGCTCTGAGAGGAAAGGAGAGCTCACGTGAACCTGGGGCTGTATTCGTGCCTCCAAGATAGCTGGTGTGTGAGTGGGTGGGAAACAGTCATCTGCACTAGTCCAGGGGTAGAGGGCACCGGGGCAAGGTATGGGGTTTGCCTGCCACAGGCTGAAGCAATGTGGAAAGGTGCCTTGTGTTGCGTGTGCTTCACTGGTACCCCAGGAGGGTGTGCTGGGACCCGCTGTTAGAGCAGGGTGCAGCCCGACCTCTGTCCCCAGACACAACCTGCCTCTAACCTTGCTGCTTCCCCCTTCCAGTCCAACCTGCCCTACTACACCTGGCAGGAGGTGCAGGCCCGCATCGTGCAGATCCAGAAGGAGCACCAGATCTGCATCCACAAGAAAGAGCTGACGGAGCTGGACATCTACCACCGTATTCTCCGCTTCAAGAACTACATGGTGGCCATGGTGAACAAGTCTCTGCTGCCCATCCGCTTCCGGCTGCCCTTACTGGGAGACACCGTCTTCTACACTCGTGGGCTCAAGTACAACTTTGAGCTCATCTTCTTCTGGGGACCCGGCTCCCTCTTTGAGAATGAGTGGAGCCTGAAGGCAGAGTACAAGCGGGCTGGGAACCGCCTGGAGCTAGCTGAGAAGCTCAGCACTCGCATCCTCTGGATTGGCATTGCCAACTTCCTCCTTTGCCCTCTCATCCTCATCTGGCAGATCCTCTATGCCTTCTTCAGCTACACAGAGATCCTGAAGCGGGAGCCGGGCAGCCTGGGTGCCCGCTGCTGGTCTCTCTATGGCCGCTGTTACCTCCGTCACTTCAATGAGCTGGACCACGAACTGCACTCGCGCCTCAGCAAGGGCTACAAGCCAGCTTCCAAGTATATGAACTGCTTCATCTCCCCGCTCCTCACCATTGTGGCCAAGAACGTGGCCTTCTTTGCTGGCTCCATCCTGGCTGTGCTTATCGCTCTCACCATCTATGATGAGGACGTGCTGGCGGTCGAGCATGTGCTGACCACAGTCACCCTGCTTGGGGTGGGCATCACTGTGTGCAGGTGAGGTGGGCCTGTGCTGGGCAGGACTGGCTGCTCCCAGAAACTTTGTGAGGAACAGCGAGGATGATGCTTCCTGTGTGGATGTGCTCTTAGGTTGCAAGCAGATGTGAGTCTGCTCTAGGGGAATGGCGCAGCTGGGGAAAGGCAGAATGGGGCAGGCAGGAGAAGCAGGCACTAGCGAACTTGGTGTAGTGTCTGCAGTGATGTCTTCAGGAACAGTACGAGGGACTTTGCTGGAGCTATACAGCAGGCGCCCTGGGCTATGCTGGCAGGAGGCTTTGGGTTGGGAGTGAAGTCTGCAGGTGGAGTTGTGGATGGGGACTCTTCGATCTGCTCTCCCAGGATGAGATCTCCCTTAAACTGAAGTGCGATGCTGTGACTTTTCCCTGTCCTATCACGCAGGTCCTTCATTCCTGACCAGCACCTGGTGTTTTGCCCAGAGCAGCTGCTACGGGTCATCCTGGCGCACATCCACTACATGCCTGACCACTGGCAGGGCAATGCTCACCGCTATGAGACCCGGGACGAGTTTGCCCAGCTTTTCCAGTACAAAGCGGTGAGCCTGGCTTGCAAGAGACTGAAACAAAAACTAATTCCTGTCCCTACAGGAGGGAGAAGCTGCTAGAGAGCTAGGCAGCTCCAGAGCAGACAGAGGGAGCTTTCTTGGAGATGACCTTCCCCAGCAGATGGGCTGGAGCTGTGGGCTGGCTCCAGGACTGCGGGTTTGTTGGGGAGGCAGCAGGATGGGACGTGAAGTTGAAGGGGAGCTGAGCTTTGCTCTGGGACCAGTTGTATTGGGGCAGTTTCTGGCATCCTCAAGCTTCCTCTGAGCCCTGTATTTCCATGCCCAGGTCTTCATCCTGGAGGAACTCCTGAGTCCCATCATTACGCCCCTGATCCTTATCATCTGTCTCCGACCCAAGTCTTTGGACATCGTTGACTTCTTCCGCAACTTCACCGTGGAGGTGGTGGGTGTGGGTGACACCTGCTCCTTTGCCCAAATGGATGTGCGCCAGCACGGCCACCCAGCGGTAGGTCCCATGCGCAACGGGATAGCAGTGTGGGCTCCACACCAGCATTCCTGATCCCTTAGGCACAGGAGAAGCTGTAATTCACCACTCCTGGGTGACTGCAGCCAACAGCCTGTGACTGCCTCTGTGCTGGGTCTCTGGGATTGCCAGCACAGGTCACCCGGCTGTGACTGTTAACCTGATATTTTGTAAACGGGGCTCTGTCACTTCTTAGTATTTAACATTCGTGCCTGTCTTCACAGACAAGAGCCTTGTGCCCTTTTCCCTCAGGAGAAAGGAGTGGGTATATTTGGACATCTTCAAAAGTGTGACCACTGACCAAAAGCTTGGCTGCTTTTGGCCAGGAGGGAAGCAGGACTGGGGAGATGGGATGTGTTTTCCATTGTATGAAAGCTGCTGTAAAGTGAAAGAGGATCCGTCTGTTTCCTGTGCCTGGGAATTTACATTAGTCATCAGAAAAGGCTCCCTAGTGACTGGGCCATGAACTGGGAAGGGATGGGCTCACTGTGGCAGGAAGCTTTTAAGAACAGTTGTTTATTGGCTGTAGTTGCTTCTGCTGTGGGCTCGAGAGTTCAAGACAAGACTTTCAACTCTGATTTTTGTGCTAGCCCCCATCTCTTTATCCCCTTTGCAGGGGGAGGTGGACAGCACTGTGCTTTACGGCTGCTGCTTTCCTAGGCTGCAAGGGCTGAACGAGGACAGGGCATTTGCTCTAGGGCCTGCCTTCTGCCTAGAGCTATGGCCCAGCTTTTGCTGGCTGCTGTGGCTTTTGCCCAGGCTGGTCCTTCAGGATTCCCGGGCCTGGCAGGAGCTTAAACTCCATTTACCAGCAGGCCGAGGATGGCAAGACGGAGCTGTCCCTCATGCACTTCGCCATCACCAACCCCAAGTGGCAGCCTCCCCGCGAGAGCACGGCCTTCATCGGCTTCCTGAAGGAGCGGGTGCACCGGGACAGCAGCGTGGCACTGGCCCAGCAGGCTGTGCTCCCCGAAAATGCTCTCTTCAGCTCCATCCAGTCTCTGCAGTCGGAGTCAGAGGTGCCCAGGCCAGAGGGGATGAGTGGTGTTCTTGGGGGGCTTGCTGAGTGCCGACAAACTCTGGGACAACTAGGCCCTCTGGGCAAATTTTCCCCTTGTCTGGGCTGTATCTGGGAATGCAAATGTGATAGCGCTAGCTGGAACTGCCTTCTGGGTTTCTAGTGAGGGCCCCTGCCTTCTGGGGCCCTGTGAGGTGGGAAGGGCTGGAGAGAGGTGCGGTGCCACAGTTCCGTGTTGCTGATATGGAGGTCAGGCCTTCAAGTCTGCACAGAGCAGTGACTCTCTCCTTTTCAACTCTGCAGCCTCACAGCCTGATTGCCAACGTGATAGCGGGCTCCTCAGCACTGGGCTTTCACGTGGGCCGCGATGGACAGGCCTCCCGCCATCTCTCTGAAGTGGCCTCAGCCCTACGTTCCTTCTCCCCGCTCCAGTCTGCCCAGCAGCCCCCCAGCGGCTTCCAGCCAGGGGGAAGGGATGGAGAGGGAGCCCAGCCTCGGGGTGCGAGTGCCATGACAGTCTCTGGGTAAGGACGTGGCAGCCTTGGCTGCCAGCTGCAGGCTCGGGAGGAGCAGCTGGAGACCTTGCAAGTCCCAAATTTCTTTGCTGGATGCCTCACTGCTGTGCTCTTGTCCTAAGTATGCAGTGGCTGTCTGGCATTTGTCTCTGCAGCCTGGGACAGGAAGGGACACGTCTACAAGCAGAGCTAGGCCCAGGTGCTTACGCCGGCCCCAAAGGGCAGTGTGGGGCTCTGGTGCTCTCCCGCAGTTACCACAGCGGTGAGAAACCCGTGGCAGGGAAGAGACTGCTCTGAGCATCCCTTCCCAGGGACGAGTGGCATGTCCGTGTAGGGCCTATCCTGGCCCTGAACGCCACCTGCTCTGGACTTGAGAGGCTCTGGAGTGAGCTCTAATGCCCTGGCACAGGGCCACAGTGCGATGGGATACTGGGGGTGGGGCAGTGCCACAGCTGGGCTGATCACCCATCTGGGGAGAGGATGCAGAGGGCCTGTCCCTCCCCGCTCATGAGAGGGTGTCTGCAAGCCTGACATTAGAGCAGAGAGAGGCTGGGCTGAGCGCAGTGTAGGGGGCCACCCAGGCAGCAAACATCTCCTGTGTGTCCCATAGCAGTGCCGATGCAAGGACTGTGAGCTCAGGGAGCAGCGCCTGGGAGGGTCAGCTGCAGAGCATGATCCTGTCAGAGTATGCCTCCACCGAGATGAGTCTCCACGCGCTCTACATGCATGAGGTGAGCAGCCTGGAGCTGGGCTGGCCCAGCTGGAGTTGGGGCATGGGCCCAGGGCAGGCGGGACAGGGCTGGTGTAGCTGGAGCCTGGGGTGGCTGGGGAGCTCTGAGTGACTAGAAGGGGAGCTGAGAGCAGTATATATGCACTGCTGGGGAGAGGGTACTTTGAGGAGTCGGGGCTCTCTCCACGTTGCTGACCTCGTGTCTCGGCCCTGCAGTTGCACAAACAGCAAACCCAGCTGGAGCCTGAGCGTCACACTTGGCACCGTCGAGAGAGCGACGAGAGTGGGGAGAGTGCCCATGAAGAGCTGGAAGCTCAGCGGGGTGCCCCTGTCCCCATCCCTCGCTCTGCCAGCTACCCCTTCTCCTCGCCGCGGCAGCCTGCTGAGGAGACGGCCGCGCTGCAAACTGGCTTCCAGCGGCGATACGGTGGCATCACAGGTATGGGAGCCAGGGTGGAGGTCTGAGCTCTGGGCCAGAGCCCTGGACTGGTTGGGGCAGCCTCTCCCTGCCACTGAAGCCTGGCAATCCTGTGTGTGGCTGATCTTCCTCCTTACCCATCCTGCAGACCCAGGCACAGTGCACAGAGCCCCATCACACTTCTCCCGCCTCCCACTGGGAGGCTGGGCTGAGGACGGGCAGTCAGCGAGACACCCAGAGCCTGTGCCGGAGGAGAGCTCAGAAGATGAGCTTCCACCACAGATCCACAAGGTATGGGCAAAAGCTTTGGCTGAGAGGGGCAGCATGAACTCTGGCTGGCAGGCTGGGTGGTGGCAGCTGGTCCCAGTAGGTGCCACATCCCCTCTCTATCTTGCAGGTGTAGCCTTATAGACTGGGGATCTCGTGGGGGTTGCAGACTGGGAGCCGCCTGGGCAGCAGGATGTGGCATCAGCCTGATTCTTCTCCCGTCCCAAGGGGACAGGGTGGTCCTGGGCTTCATTTTATTGCCATCAATTGCCGAAGAGACAAAACTGCCAGGTCAGCGGCTTTGTGGTGGCGCCTTGTGTCCAGCCGTGTGTCAAGTCAACGCCACTCTGACTCTTGTGGGGTGAATGCGTGTGTGAGTACATACGTGTGTCTGTGTTCACATCTGTGTCGTCTGTGTCGGAGGATCGCTGCAGAGCCTACGAAAGCTGACGTGATGGGACTGGCAGTGAGGAGCTGTGGACTGGCTCGGAGGTGGCAGTAGCAGCTGCCAGTCAAAGGGATGTGAGAAGGCACCAGCTCCAGACGTCCATCCAGGGCTGAGACCTGCCTCCAAAATGAGGACAGGGAGCTGGTGTCCTCTGGGGATGGCCGCCCATGGCAGGAGATGTCGAGGGGGAGCTAGCTCAGTCTGTGGCAGTGCTGGCACGATGACTGCCCTACCTGCAGCCTTGGGGAGGTGCCCAGCACTGCGTTGCCCTTCCCAGGGAGGACCAACTTCATGCTCCTCAATCCGCAGCAGGATGGCAGTGGGGCGGTCCCCCCACTACGTGCACACACGCGCTGCCCCAGCTCCCTGCTTAGAGATGGGACCCCACTGCTGCTGGTGTGGGTAGGATGGCACTCACTGGGATCCGGGGATGCTGCAGCTCTTCCCCAGCTCCTATAACAGCTGCCCAGTCCCTTGCATGCAAGGAAGAAGGGGCTGTGGGGGTGGGAGACTTTTGTCCCTGATATCTCTCCCAGCTGGCAGCCTCTGTGCCATATCTCTGAGCGAGGACAATGTGCCCCTGGCCGGTGCCCGTGGGACGTGGGCTGCTAGCGGGGCCCCCTTGCAATGCCAAAGAGACCATGGAGTGGTCCTGCCTGGCTTCTCCTGGGGGCACACGTGGCCTGGGCAGAGCCCACCCTGACGGTCTTGTGCTGTGTGTATTGAATTGACTCCCTTCCCCCAGATGTTATAAAAGCCTCTTCCCTATGCCTGACCTGTCTGATACATGGGATCTGTCTTCCTGATGTGGCCGTTTCTGTGGTATTGGGGCTTTCCTCCTGCCCAAAGCCTTCAGTGTGTCTTACATCTCACCCAGGGGCTCTCAGCTCCTTCCTTCGCTCCTGAGAGAATCCTTTTGCTTGCAACGTTGCGTTGGCTGCTGCAGAGCCCGCGTCCTAAAGCAGATGGCTGATTTCTCGGGGGCGCAAGAGGAGGTGCCTTAAACGCAGAGGGGAGAGACAAACCGTAGCCCAGCCCCATGGTAGAGGGGAGAGTAGGGAGCCTGGTTGTGCAGCGTAACCTCAGACAGGACCTTCCCAAGATCACCCTAGTTTCCCTTGCCCCTCTTCCAGTGGCAGCTCGTGAGCATGTACATCTCGGTTAACCCCTGCCAGGCATTGCTTTTGCCCTCCTTCACTCCCCTTTCCCCTGGTAGGGACTGCTTGCTTTTACCATGCCCTCTGTGAGCAGCAGGCAAGCCCTCCTCTCCCATCCCTGGAGTCCAGGGCCACCTTTCTTCCCCTGGCAGGATTATTGCCCTGTGCCCTTTGAGCCTGGGCTGGGCACACGCCTGATGAGCCAGCTGCTCTTTGCGCTGGGACAGACACGCCTGGTAGGAGGGACGCAAGTGTGGAGGCATGTGGCGTTGTGCCCAAGGATTCCTCAGTTGTTTACTAACATAAAGGGGACCATAAAAGAGCAAGGGCTCCAGGTGTAGCATGACTCCAAGTAATAAGTATTTTATTACTCACTCTTAGATTGCAGTCTCAGCCTAATTCGCTCTAGCCAGGCCCTACATGTTATGCTATTTGCGCTTCAGGTTTGCGAGCGCGTTGCTGTCTTACAAGTTCTGATCCCTTGATGCCCTGTCTGTCGCGGAGGAATCCCGATGCGGGCGTCCCCTTCTCACTGGGCGCGGGTCCTGCAGTCAGGCCAGCTGCCTGGCGCAGGGTCCACACTGCATAAGCTGGCGCTAATCTTTTATAGCGTTCCCCTGTTGTTCTCCTCCAGTAACAGCAGTTTAACCCAATGCAAGCCTAACGGCCTTTCGTCCAATCATGTTCCCTTGCAGTTTTCTTCTTTATGACTTCTTATCGCTATTCCCACATAGTTCTACCAGAGTTGAGAGTTTCTGCAGTGTCATTTCATTCCTTATTACTGTTGCCACATAGTGCCACTGTTTCCAGTAGTGCCCAGGGACAGGACAAGAGGCAACAGGCACAAACTGAAATACAGCAAGTAACTTTTTTTACTGTGAGGGTGACTGAGCACTGGAACATGTTGCCCAGAGAAGTTGTGGAGTTTCCGTCCTTGGAGACAGTCAAAAACCATCTGGCCAGGATCCTGAGTAACCTGCTATAGGTGACCCTGAGCAGGGGGGTTGGGCTAGATGATCTCCAGAGGTCCCATCCAACCTCAACCGTTTGTGCGATTCTGCAGTTCTGTAGTGTGGGGCTGCAGTTCTGTAGTGTGGGGCTTCAGGCTCTAGACAGCCCGAGTGACTGCCAGCTGGTGGGACGCGCCAGTGTGTCCTGCTGCAGTAAGGGCTGTGCTCTCCATGAGGCCCACCTTGCCTGCAGGCTTGTGCCAAGGGGTCAAGCAGGGCTGGCTCTGGCCCTGGTGTCTGTGGCCCTCCTGCCTGCAGCGCAGGCAGCCTGTGTTTGCTCTTACACCCTGTGAGACCCAGCTGTGGCCATAGGAGCAAGAGGGCCAGGAGCACCGATCATTCAGTAATCACTGCCCTGCCTGGCCTTTGATGTCCTTCCCCCAGCCTGGGGAGCATAGAGGGGGTGTTTGTGCAGGCACAGGCTCTTTTGGGTGATGGGCTCCCTGTTGCAAAGGGAAGGGATAGACCAAAGCTGTGGCTGGTCTGGGCCTGTAAGAGACCAAAATGAGTATACTAAGGCAAAGCCCTAGATGGGGATCAGCTCCTTACAGCTGGGATCAGTACTCCTGGGGTCTCTCTCTGGCTTGCCCTGTGACCTGGGGATAAATCATGTGGCTGGGCTCAGCCAGAGGGTAAGAGGTTCGTGGGCCTGGGTACCACACTGGGGTGCCAGTTTCTCTAGCTGTGGGTATGCTCTCTGCACGGCTGCTGGGGGCAGCCCCTGCCTCCCATGGAGGATCAGCTGTAAAAACCCCCACAGCAGCTCCAGCTTGGGGCTGTTGTGGCGTGATGGGTTCAACAAGGAAACTGAGGGCGAGTCTCCAATGCACCCAAGCTTTCCAGCTGCTTCCCTTGCCACCTGGGTTCCCTCGCTGCACACATGGCAATGCTCCCTGCCCCAGGGCAACTCTTTGAGCCTGCAGCACCTGTTTAGCAGCTCTTGATGAAAAACGCACATCGGCCAGCTGGGTTTTTACAGACTCAGAAGCACCTTCTGGCTGCACTCTGTATGAAGGGCAAGCCTGTGGGTGTCCTCTGTGTCAGCAGGCTTGGCCCTGGGGGTGTGGGGTGCTTGGTCTGGGCTTCCTAGCATAGTCACTGCTGATTCTTAAGTAGGGCCAGCTGAGCTGGTGAAGGCTGGCTGCATCCTGGGGCAAGTGGGAAGTCTGGGCCTTTCCCTGGGGATAATGGGGGAGGGAGAGGCCTGACAGGAGCAGGCAGGAGTCCTTGCCGCATGTTGTGCTTGTGTTGTCACTGTCCCATGTGCATGGCGAGCCACTCTTCCTCATCCCTTCCCAGGGCGTGCGAGTGTGCAGGTGCACGGCAGGGATCCCCGAGGAGTGCTGATGGCGGTCCCGTGCCCTCACTGTACAGCTGTATAGCCATGTAATAAAGATGGGGCATCGTCCACACCGGCGTCCGAGTCTCTGTTCTCCCTGAAGCGTGGTGCAGCCTGCCTGTCTCTGGCCACAGAGCAGGGGGCGATAATGTGGGACCAAGGATGCTGGAGAAGGCAGTGCCCAGGATGGACTCTGTCCCTGAACGTGTGCCAGGGGCGGGGGCGGCTGCAAGCTGACTGGGCTGGTGTGGAGCCAGCTGGGAGCATGGGAGGAGCAGGGCCTCCCGGAAGGTCCCAAGCCCCTTCCCTGCTCTGGCCACATGCTGGAGGCTGCAGCGTGCACGGACAAGGGAACGGCTGGAGCTCAGAGCTCAGCTGGAAGGGGCAGGCCCACAGGCTGCACACTGCTCCCTTACTTCTGAGTGCCAGGGACAGCCTGATCCACTGCTTGTGTCCCAGGAAGCCAGGGGACATGGAGAGCAGGCGGCAGGGATACGGTGCCTAGCCCCCACAGCCATGTCTGGGGAAGGGAGCATCAGCAGGGGCTGGGTGGGGAGCAGCTCCTGGGAGTGATACATCCTACGTTATCTTCCTGGTTGGACCGTGCCTGGTGAACAGCCCCTGTTGTAAAGTAGGCGGGCTCCTGTCAACAGGAGCATGCAGGGAACCCCAGCAGCATCTTTCCCCTCTCAGACAAGGGGTCTTCCTACAAATTCTGGGCTTCGCTGTGGGGTAACAAGCTCTTTCCAGAGCAGAGAATGGCCTGAGTGAGCCCACTGCACCTGGGGGGCTGCCAGGTTTGTCTCGTGGCCCATATTGCTGGTACTCCTGCTGCCGCAAAGGGCTCTGCGCCTCGGCACGGGGGAGAGCAGCCCCGGTGCCCTGCCACCGTGCTGAGGCGGCAGGACGGCTTCAAAGGAAAACAATTCCGCTTTGCTAAAGCAGCAGCACAACAGGCTGCTTTGTCACTCACATGCAAGGGGCAAAGGGGGGCCTTGGATGGGACAACTGGGATCCTGCACTGCTCGTGGCCTGTCAGAGGGTAACATCTAGCTGTAGATTTGAGGGGGGCTGAGAGATGGGGCGGATGTGCTCATCTTGCAGGGGGGTGTGGGGCCTGGGTTTCAGACCTAACGCTTGGCTTTGCTGTAGCCTACGTGTCCAAGCAGCCCCTGGGGCCTTGGCTCCCTGCTTGTCCCCAGGAGCCTTCCCAGGGCACAGAGCGTCGGGCAG